ATGGTGTTCTTGTCCCTTTCTCAAGAAAACTATTAAAATACTTTAAGTGAATGTTATCAGCTCTCTTCTTTTGCAGTTCTTAGTAATAAATGCTGAATTTTAAATCACAGCTAATCTCAGTCCCTAAATTGTTTAAATAGGAGAAGTTATTATATAATATATTGCAGTCTGATGGTGAGTGTCTTCACTTGACTCTTTGGGCTCTTTTTTCCAGTCAGACCGTGTGTGTGTGTGTGTGTGTGTGTGTGTGTGTGTGTGTGTGTGTGTGTGTGTGTGTGTGTGTGTGTGTGTCTGACATCAGCTCAGGCCTCATCTCTTTTGGCACCTCTGCTCTGCTGGTAAACTACATTCTTCCCACCTCCAAAGCCAAACTATGTTCGCTCACACTCACTCGTTACCATTAGGCCATTCATCAATGTTCAACTGTCCAAACACTAGAGGTGTTAAGGAGACAGACCTGGTCAGACCTGTTTGAAAGTTTTCCAGTGACCCTGTGCAGAAGATTTCCAGTCAGAGGATCTGTAGTCTGCAAAAAAAGAAAGCGAGATCAGGTTGCTTGACTTTGCACTTTATAAATCTTGTCAAAAGAGACAGTCAAAAAATTATTGTTGATGTTTCAGCTACCTATAGCCTTGCTTTGGATGCATAGTCCATTCTTAAAGGCACTCGCAGAATTAACTGGGGAAAAGGTGTGAGTGCACTATGATGTGGCACAAGTGAGCTTTGATTGTCTTATAGATTGAAAAGAACTGAAGTTCCTCTTTTTGAGTTTTATTCAACCATCGACGTACAACTTTATTTTTGTTCTTGACGCCTCAAGTGCCTCAGTATTTTCTCTCAGTGTGTATTTGTCATGAAGTATTTGCTTTACAGATGAGATTTGCTGGAAGTAATAACCAAATATTTCTGTGATTAAAAAAAAAATGTATTCTCTTTCTTATGGATTATCAAATAGTATGATAAAGAATATTTACTTAATTGACTGTCTGCCCGAGCAGCATGCTGCCTGTCAAGCTGCTGCTGTTCACTGTCACAATTTCAATGCATGCAAGTAGTTAGAATTTGTATTCCTTTAAGGCAAGAATCTGTAATGGACACAGGTTGCTTTTGTTTAATTATTTTTTACTTGTCCATGAGGTATTCTTTATGAAATGCAATCAAGGGTGAAATACTGTCAATATGATAATCTATGGACCATTTGATCTGATGTTGGCCAAGATCCCTTCAACTCTCTTGATCTGCAACTCAGCTGCAGTGTCAAAGCACATGTGTTATTTTCAGGGCTGTAAACTGACATGGAGTGAAGACTGAGCATCAGCCCTGCAACCATCTTTACTCCTCAAACACTTTGCCTCATTAGAAAGCCTTTTTTGTCATACTAGTAAATTGCATAACACTGCATAACCTTTTCAGTGTTTTGTTGCCCATGTCACAGAGTTTTGGAGACATGTTGCTAAGATTATATGTAAAATATAGTTAAATATAGTTTTCATATTTAAAAAAAATCCTTTTATCATTTGATCTGTTGTGTTTGCACGTCATTTTTTTCTGATTAATTTGAATACTATCAAATCTGGCTTTACCAACACTTTACAGAGCTTCCCAAATTTTTTCTAAATTAAGGTTGTAGAATATGACTCTGTTTGCCAAGCCGTTTTTAATGTCACTATGAATATAAGTTCGCTAATATGATGATTCAAACTCTGACCTTATAATGATATTTTATGAGCCATTAGAAGCTCAGGGTTGCCATAGGGACCTCAAATGTGAGTGAATGCATGGTGGATCTGTTCTGATAGCTCTCTACATCACAGAAGCTTTAAAACATCTGATGAAATTATTGTAATATTTCAATAACAGACTGATTTACTTCACAACTTGAATTGTGCCTACCTCTGATTTTAATCACCACACTCTAAACACACCCAGCACCAGAGTTGAAAAGGGACCAACTACTTATTTTGACCCAGAATGTTGGGTTATTCAGGTTAACCCAAATTTTGGGTTGAGTCAATAACTCTTTTTAAGGATCAAGTTAACCCAACCTTCCAGTTAATTTGACTCATGATTTTGGGTGAAATTGATATATGCATTTGGGGAGCTTTTTTTGCAACCTGTACCATCTGAGCTGGTATGGCTTCCAATGGTACACATTCATGTTGATCAGGTAGGCCATAGCACTAAGGGTCTTGCCTAAGGACCCACACAGGTATATGTTCTTCACTTCTTACAGATGTGTCTCATGCGGGATTTGAACCCCAACCCCCAGTTGGGAACTGGATGCTGTATCCGCTGAGCTACCCCAGTCGCCCATTGCCATTAGGCCTAGAAACTACGCAGAGTCAATCGAACCCAACGTTCTGACCCAATTATTGGGTTACTCTCAGAAAAAGAACCCATAATTATTAACCCATTCAAATACCCCTCAAACTGGGTTACGATAGAATCCATATGACCCAAGAAATGGGTATGGATCTGAAAAATAACCCCGAAATTTAACTCGACTTGTAAAACCCAGGAATTGGGTTGAAGAAATAACCCAAGAGTTTTTAGGGTGCATTAAAAGGTAAGAATAATATGCATCATTGAGGCTCTCAGCTACATAACTCTAACTATTTAAAAAAAAAAAACAGAAAGTGCATCTTTAATTCCAGATCAAACTCTTAATCCATCGTTGAATTGCCTTTTAGTGATGTGCATGCTGAGTAATAACGAAGAGGAAGGAAGGAAGGAAAGGACAATATTTGCTTTGGGCAGAATTTTTCCAGGCCATCCATTTACAGCCAGTTTTAAGACTTGATGGCTCTCTAGCTGGAGTACTCATTAGCTATGCTGGGAATGATAGCTGCCACTGCCTTGTGAATGATACCCCCATACCCCAGAGGGCTATGTGGAGATTTTACCGGGGAGAATGTGTTCCTGGGCAATGACCCAGCAGAGATCTGCGGGTTTATCCTCTGCAACAGGTTTCACATGCAGCTTGTTGGCCAAACCCACAAATAACAGCAAGGCGTCTTATTTGCCATCATTCTCAGGCCTGTTTCAGATTACTAACCGGCTCTTTGAAGTTGGCTGACAGACAGGCAGGGTTTTCCCCTTCTTCTTTGCCAGAAAAAGATTGGGTCATCAACAACTCTGCCACCCACCACATATCATAAATGACCTCTGGATAAGATGTGTGCTTACTTAGGCAGCTGATCAGAGGACCGATGGGAAGCAGTAACAAAAGGTCCAGTGTGGTAAATTTCACAATTTCACAGCAAAGTTTATAGTGAAATAAAAGCCTATGTGTGTTGCTTTAAGTAAAGCTGATGCAACTTCTTCCCTTTTCTTCAAAGGCCTTGACTTGAAGACATCCTGAGCTATGATTAAGTATTGACAGCACAAGACAGCATGAAAAATGAAGACTCTTCCATTGATACTGGTAGCATCTCTTCCACTACATGGCCAGCAATAAGCATGCTAATTTTTCCCTCAGTGATAGCTAAGGTTGACCTAAAAGCTATCAGTAAACAAAAGTACTGTAATAGTAATAGCGTCAGTGTTTCTGAATCATAGCACCACTAACATCCTTCCCTCTCAATAGACACCAGCGTTGTGGGGCTATGTTGAGCTTGCAGGTGCTCCTTCAATACTCAGGAAGAGTTTTAATCCCTTGACAAGCTTTTGTGTAGCTTTTGTTTTCTTGCCCCCTTTTTTCCCCAAAAAACTCAAAAAGATGGGTATGTTTCCACTCACCACATTTGAAGAAAAATATGGTAACTGGACTCCATTACATTTATGAATGTTCTCGGTTTGTTACTGCTTCCCCCCTGACATCAGCTGATGAATTTTCTCTACTTTGCTAAAATCCAGTCCTAAAGACAATATACTGTGATCTTCATTCTACTTGCTGAAGATATGAAACATCACAATTTGGGGCTAAAATGCTATCCCCCTGTCCCTTAAACAATGAATTGGATCATGAATCAATAATCTCTAATAATTTGTTAGTCTGTTGAAATTATGTACTGTTTAAGTGTTTTGAACTTTCCAATCTATCTAACTGAAGGAGTTTTTGCTCAGACCATCCACTGCCCGTGTCCAGGCAATAAAAAGCCTGTAACCAAACCCACAACCTCCAGTAATCCAGCAGGGACAATCACTGGCAGAGGCTGTGGAGCTGAATCCCTGCAGACTATCTGCGTGCACCAGCATGAGAGATGAGACCACATCAGTGGTGCTAATAAAACTATAGGGCACAGGAATGTAGTGAGAAGACGGAGCAGCAGTGCCTGAGTGTTGGGTTTGACAGTTATCCAACATTTTTCAACTTTTCATGGACATGAGAAACATTTTTATAAATACCCAAAACTTTACACAACACACCAAAAAAGCAAAGTTACAAATGGATATGTAGAACGAAATATGATTTTTTTTTTTTTTTTTTCAAATAAAATGTTTTGGGGTTTCAATAATTGATCTTAAACTCAGTGGAAATATTTTCTTGTAGAAGTTTGTGAAATTGACCCTCAAACACTTTATTTAAATTACATGAATATAAATCATTCATTTTGGTGTAAATATTCTGCCTAAAGCGATGGAGTAGAAGTTTTTAACTAGGGTAGTAATTTAAATGATCTTGGGTCAATAAAATGCATATTTTTGAGTGTTTTAATGGATTGATGAGTCTGTTCAAAGACGATAAAACTTTCTGTTCTCAATGTGTGCAAAAAACTATCAGGGCAGCATTTTCCTGCGTAAACGGCCAGTACCAGGGTTACCCCGCCCACCAGCGTTGTCATGCTGTGTCCAGAGTGTCAATGTGCAAATCAGCTTGGCTTGAGGAGAGAGAGGTGTCAGAGCAGTGGACAGTCAGCAGGGCTTTTCCGAGACAAGGCATCCGTCAAACAAAAAAGAAGTGTGAAAGTGTCCACTTTTGGTTCCACAGAAAGTTATGGTTTACTCTTTATGTTGAGGTGTAAGGTCGTGCGTAAAAGTTTACTTTTCCATTGGGAACCATGCGCTTCTCCGAGCTGTGTGGTGGGGTACCGGACACCTTTCCAACAAGAGCAGGAGATGCGACCCTTCACGCTGTTTACTCAGGACCCTCGCTGTTCTCAGCCATCGCCTTACCCTCACGAGGATCGTCAGATCTCCGTGTGGAAGCCACGGCAGACGCACAAAGTCACAGGTCGTCCACGGAGCAGACTTCACTTTTGTGCAGGCCTGCCAAAACTTTGGGGGGAGAGGAAACGCCAGAAGACGAGCCTAAAGTTTATCTGGAGGACTGCAAACTTTGGAGACAGTTTCACAAATGTGGAACGGAAATGGTCATAACAAAATCTGGCAGGTATAGTCAATGTCTCTTAGTTACGAAAGGCGGAAAGTTTAACTGGTCTGTGCGTCATGCAGTTATGTCTACTCCCTACAGGCGCATGTTCCCGCCGCTAAGAGCCAGGTGCACGGGGATGGACAAGACAGCAAAATACATTCTTCTGCTGGACATCGTAGCAGCTGATGACTGCAGATATAAGTTTCATAACTCCCACTGGATGGTGGCGGGAAAGGCGGACCCTGAGATGCCCAAACGCATGTACATCCACCCGGACAGCCCGGCCACGGGCGAGCAGTGGATGTCCAAAGTGGTCAACTTTCACAAACTGAAACTGACCAACAACATATCGGATAAGCACGGGTTTGTAAGTGAAATGTTTTATGTAGGGCATGTCAAACTGGTACTTAATAACGAACAGGGGAACCTTTTGTCAATCAGTGTTTAATTGATGTCGTTTTTTGTCATAATTTGAAACGAGGGTCCAAAATTTTCAAATTTTTTCTAGTGCAAGTCAACGAAGTTTTCCCGACAATAGTTCTCTATATGTGTGTATACCTTTAACAAACTTTTCTTTCAATTTGCAGACAATTCTCAACTCGATGCACAAATACCAACCAAGATTTCACATAGTGAAGGCAAACGACATCCTAAAACTGCCGTACAGCACCTTCAGGACATATGTGTTCCCTGAGACTGAGTTCATCGCAGTAACAGCTTACCAAAATGACAAGGTCAGAATTTTAACTTCATGAGCATTTTTATAGAGTTAAAGATGATAATATGATTTGATACAGCTGTAATTTATAGTGCCAATATTTAGATGTATCATCACCAACAAAAAATGGAGAGTCTCTATATTTATATGTCTCTACATTTCTTTTCTAACTATTCAGATCACACAGCTGAAAATAGACAACAACCCATTTGCAAAGGGATTCAGAGACACTGGCAATGGAAGGAGAGAAAAGAGGTAAGTTATTTTGTGTTTTTTAAACATTTTTTTTTTTTCTTCTTTTTTTAAGGGTCTTAGCATGTAACAAAATATTCAGCTCCATCAAGTCGAGGCCTGTGACCCCTCATGAAAAAATCAGTAGTGGTAAGAATTTAAATACTCATTACTGTGGAATAATATACTCGCTGCAAGTGAGTAACTTTGAGTTCTTGTACTTTTTGCATACTTTTATAAATCAATAATTTTACCTAATTAAGTATTTGTGCATAAAGTGTTATGCTTAACTACATTTCACAAAGTACAGCAAAAATCCCCAAAACATGCAGGCTGTCAATTAAGTGCATGACAGCCAGCTAATTGGATGATGTCTAAACTGTAATAAAATTCCAATCTTACCAAGTAGATTTGTCTAAATTACGGTAAAAATATCTCGTTATTTAAGACACATTGATGTAAAAGGTCCAAGTATAAATCTTAACATATAGGGCAAAATATTCTTGATAAGCATTGCATTGCTGTGTTTATAAACTTATTGGGACGTTTTTGCATCCATTTTTACTCCTTTCAGCTGATTCTACTCGACTAGTATTACTGTGATGGATAATCTCAGAGCTACTCGTGCTTATAATGATCCCAAACTGAGGTGGAAAATATCACAATTTCCATATGAGAATCACTTGTGCATTATATAGTATATAGAGAAAAATATATAAAGAAAAAGGAAAGCGTAGGCTGCTTTGTGCAGAAGGTGGTGGCAAAGTTAACGAAAGCTGCAGTACTCCCCACAGGACTTTTAATTATGATAACTGACTGGTGCCCCTTTTTTTTCCTACATCAGGAAACTGCAACATTCGCCTATCAAATCGAAAGAGATGCTGATGACTGCCAGGGAATCTGAACCTGAAAAAGACCAATCTACACAGAATAATGATAACTCTAAATCACCAGGTACCATTTACAGATGATATTTCGATTTCTAAGTCAGTCTGTAATGTTCTCTGAAGAATGTCACTGAACAATAACTTTTTCCATGTATGTGTTTTACTAAGATTCAATTGAAAGTGATGTTGACAGAGACAACAATGTCAAGGACAGATGGGGACGACAGGTGTGCAACATCCACCAGGAAACCAGACCTAAGGCAAAGGTTATAGCATCAGATGGAGCCACAGGGAGCCAGTACAACACGGAGACAGAAATGGACCCCGGTAACAGCTACAGCACCCCTACATTAACTGATTTAGGGGATTGCTGTGGATCACAAGACTCGGCACAGAATCAACTTTTCAAATCACACAGCAGTTTTCCCCCAAGTTTGATTTATCAAACTGAATCACAAAGACATCTGCAGGATCAGAGTACCCCCAGGAGCCTTCCCCACTCTGCTCAGCTGAACACCTGGAACAGCTGTGCTAACCTTGACAAAGCAGTGTTGTATGGACTGAGTCTGATGGCACCTGTACGAACTCCTGAGTCTTCCCGGTTTCCCACTGGCCTTCCATACCATCCCTCAGTACAGGTACACAAATGACCATCAACTCTGAGAAATGCAAAAATGCATCTTTCTTTATTACTTGATAAGACAGGAAATGGGTCAATGTACAGTTCTGTAGCCCTTTCTCTTAACCAACCTTTCAGAAAAATAAAAGTAGAAGTAAGATGTTTTTAAATAATAGAATTAAAATAGTGGTTTTGTTCTGAGCACAGCACAATTTTTTTATCATGACAGAAAATGTTTTTCTTAGAAGCTACTCCAAAACACTTCATTCTTACAAGAGACAACTAATAAAAACATAATCAGCATTTGCTTCAGAAAGAAAAAATAACACAGATTTATCACTTTTTTAAAAACAGAAATAGATGAAACACAAAAAAAAAACATTTGGGGCAAATTTTCTTAAATCCATGGTGCATTTATTTATTCATGTATTCAGTACACAACACACACAGAACATTGTATTTGGACCTTTTATGGTTCATGTTTTCAAATGTTCATCAAACGTCCATGAATCACACCAATAAGGATGCTACTCTTCTCTTAAACCCATTAATGCATGTATGAGGAAAACGCATGGAGTGTGAAAATTAAAACTATGTCTGTCAGAAACAGGCAATGAGAGGAGATAGAGTCCAAAGAGCTAGAATTTGTCCAGGATTAGGTACAAATTACCTTTGTATACCTGGTTTGCCTACTTAGTGACTTAACATTGGAGATTAAGAACATGTTGATCTTCTCAGCCCTAATGACAACACTTAAAGCTTCACTCTAAGCCTACATTCACATCCTAGCTTGTCAGGAATATTTTAATATCTAAATGAAACAAAAGTTATCATTTATAAAGAGTGCTTTAAAATTGGGTGTCTTTACAGCAGGGTGTCTAATTCTTAGTTGGAAGGGCAACTGGACAAAACAAAGAATTGTATAACCATGACCTGGATGAATTAGAGCCCACAGACTTACAGCAGGGTGGTTTTTTGTTTTAGAGAAAAATTGACTGGTTAAGACAAACAATGTAGACACCCACATAAATCCCTCAAACAAATGAGCATGCACTATTTCAAATCTGAGCTGTCTCTAACTGTCAGAAACTGATAATTGCTTATATTTCACCTTTGTCTACAGGACTTGGTAAGCTTTTCACACTTTGGAGGCTTCCTGTTGTATCCCTTCTCGAGCATCACATCAGCCCCGTACCTCACCCAGCATATGCAGTCCAGTGAGGAATTTAGAGCCCATTCAAGTGTCCACAGTGGGGACTGCTTCACCTCTTCTATGATGTCCTCAGTTTCTTCAGCGGGTGGTAGTGGTGGATTGAAATACTTCTCCCCAAATTTGCTGCTCTTGCCCAAAACAGATCAAAAGACCAAGGTAAACAAAGATGAAGAGGACTGCTGTATGGAGGAACCACAAACAGACTAAACAGACTGAAATAATGAAAAGATGCAACTTTTACTGCTGCCCCAGCTGCATGGCTGCTCTTCTAAGGAAATGAAAAATGGTTATATGAAAGTCTCAGATATCTGCATCTTAATACCCGTGTTGCTGAAGACTGTATCTCTGTGGTGCAAAAAGCAATCAGCTGATGAAACTGAGGTATAAATTGTGATTGGAAATTAAGAATTAATTTGTGGATGCTGAACTATTAACTTTATAGATCAAGTAAATATCTTTGAAACCGATGTTGAAAACACTTTGAGAGAAGCGATTAGCGTAAACACATTTGTCTTAAACAAACCAAAAAATCTTGAACAAGAAATCCCTTGAGTGCTTTAGAAATACTTTTGCAACAACATATCTTCAGAAGGGTTAAACCAACCCAGCTCATATTCCCTGCTAATGGATGAACACCCTTAACACTTGGAAAATTCTGCTTCACTGTACAAAGAAAGAGTGATCGTGGAGGGACCACAAAGCAACTTCACTACTGACATTTGGACTCCCCAATTTTTTTTTATGAAACTTGAAAACAATTTGTTGTACTTTTTCTTTCAGTGACAGTTCTTTTATTTTGTTTAAGTGGGGTTGTATGAACCACTTGTTAATAGTATGTGTAATACCCGCAAACTATTACCTTTCTTAGCCTTAATGCATATTAAAAAGGAAAACAGTATTAGGCCTATTTGTAAAACCAGTTGACTCGTGCTGCTGGCTATAAGTCAAAGATACAGTGAGGCCCCAATGCCAAGATGAAAATATGTCTTTTTTTGTCTGAATTTTCCATATTTCCAGATTTATTTGCAACATTAAAAGCGTATGAACATTACATGGACAGGTTGTCATTCTCCCAAGTTATCTCAAGGAAACTTACCTGCAGTGTTGAGCATAAAGTCAATCATAACTAAGCTATCACAATACTATTTGCGATATAGGACAAAAATGTGGGTTTTTTTAGGTATTTCAATCCAGACTAATTGTTTGAGCAAAAGAGAACTACTGATCATCTTCTTAGAGCTTTTATAAACTGTATATTTATGACATGTTGGATTTAATTTTTTCTGAAGTCCCCTTCTGCTAAGGATATTTTAGTTTTACATAAACTAGACTTTGTTTTGGCCTGACATGAAAGCAAAGGGTAATACACAACCCCTTATATCTTTTTGAATTTTTATGATAATAGGGTACACTTCATCTTTAGTGCCAGTGGCCTGAAAACAAAAGTACTTTTAAAGGTGTATTAAACAAACAAAAAAGCAATTTAAAAAGATTTATTACACAGCCCATTGTGCACACAGCATAGATGGTATAAATCCCCACCAAAAAAATAAACATAGCCTAAATGATATCCCTTGTTTCTGAAGTGGATTATTAAGCTGATAAATGTTGTTTGCTGTGCAACTTATAGTTGCAGTAGGCCTACCAAGAGACAAAAATCTCATTCTCCTCATACAGTGTGGACTAAGAGAGAAATTGGTTATTTGGATCAATTGTTTTTATTTTTTATTTTTTGTTCTAGGCTGTAAAAATATACATTCATGCTGCAAAAAACATGGTTTCCTTAGGAGTATGTTGCATGTGATGCTTTTGCAGGAGACAATCTGGAAACTGCAATTTTAAACACGTCCACATTAGCCTCATTTCTCAAGTTTAAGATTGATAGAGTGTTCTTTAAAAATTTTCACATAATAATTTACCCTTGCAAATCACTACCTAATCAAATTTATAAGCAAAATAAACCCCAGTAGTGGTTTCTTCTAGTGACCATCCTGAGACTACGACACACTTATATAGAACTGCAGTTTCCTGAATTTTGAAGGAATTGTAATAATTTTATTATTTCTGAAGTCTGAAATTATTATTATTATTATTGTAATATTTGTAATATTATTATTAATCACAAACGAAAAACTTTGAAAATGCCTCTTTTATGTCTACCTGAGATTAATTCTATGCATCCCCTGCCATCTTACAATCTTGTGCACATATTTTTATTTATCTCCCTTGTATTTCTTTGCTCGTGTTAGCGATAAATCAATTTAAAAAAATAATAAAACCTTTAAAAAAAAAAGTCCGAATACAGCGGCGCATGTTGATGACGCCACACAAAGACGCCCGAAACAGCAGTCTCTTGTAATGGAGGAAGTAGCAACTGTTTGTTGTTGTTAACCATGGATGGATATTCTTGAAGGATAAATGTAGTTTTCTGAGGGTGACAATGATTTCCGTGAGTTATATTTTGTTGTGTGGACAGTTTTTGCTCCTGTTGACGGTGATTCTGCTCCAGTTTCTTGATGGGATTCACTCACAAAACTCAACGACGATGGAAACTCCTTCCACATCCTCTGGTCAGGGAGCTACAGCTCTCCCGTTCAGCGAGCAGCCGCCAGAGGTGGTGAAATATGAAATACCAGTTGAAAATCCGAACTACACAGAGGTCTATGAGTACAGACCTCCTTCGCCGGTCGTCCTCTGTAGTTATCTGTAAGTATCAGGTGGTGGTCTTCTTGATGAAATGCTCTCGTTAGCATGTTAGCTTATGCTAAATATGTGCTGCTGCTGTGACACTGACGCAGATCAGTCCCATTTTCTGCACAGTCATTTTAATCAATTACAATCTACAAAAGCCATATTTTCAGTCTGTATTAAATAGTCTCTATGCAGAGTCAGGGATAACCTGAGTCTACACGGCTCTACAGAGTTTAACATGACAAAAGGTGGTGCAACAATATTCAGTTACTTCTGCTTGTAGGATTCAGGGTCAAGATCAATCACAGTATCATTGGTTATATTACAACAATAACAATAGCTTGGGGAAATATGCTTTTACACACCATGGGGACATGTCATTTTCCCCCTACCCTGTCAACGATTGGTTAAAAGTAAGTAGGGGAGAGTGGGGTAAGTTGAGCCAAAGGGTAAGTTGAGCCACCCTCTGTTTCTTGGAAATGGTAAAAGAAATGGATCATGTGACCAAATATTTAGAAGATGGGCATCAATTCATGGAGTCTGTGAAGGTTAGAAGCACATAGGTGAAGAGGTTAAACATTTATTTCCAAAAAAAAAACATTTTTCACTCTTGAAAGTGAATTTAGTCTGTCATAAGTTTTAATACTGTTGTGTTCAGACCAAAAAAGATCATTGTAGGGAAATGGCTCAACTTACCCTACTCCTATGGTCAACTTACCCCATACACTGGGTAAGTTAAACATAGGAGACCACTTTTTTTGGAATGCTATATTATCAAGACAGTTATGTTTACACTCATTCTGTTGGTTTGCAGGGATGCACAACATCTTAAAATATATACAGATACACTACTTAGAGACAAAATTATAAATGCCTTGATGTAGTGATGGCTCATCTTATCCACTCTCCCGTACTCAATACTTGGTGCCTGCAAATTGGAACAGCGGCAACAACAGACTTCAAAATCCAGGGAATGCCATAATAACGCCACACCCCTTACTCACCTTTTTCATTAACTCTCTATGTCTGGTGAAGACCCGAGGAGTTTATCTACTGTCAAGACCCAGTGGATCATGCAGGCAACTACAGCGCATATCTGGAGATGAACCATGGCTGTGTTGGGGTACGTTAGTTTATTTATTTGAATTAATAAAAGTGTTGCTTATCACTTCGTCATTTTAACTATTTTGCTTTTTACATTTAGTGGGGTGGCCAGACTCAAAAAGAAGTGAACCACACGCCGGTTATCTGCACTGCCCTTGACGACATCGAGTGTGCTGGACCGCGGGAATTCACCAGAGGGAATGTACCATGCATCAAGTAAGAGACACACTTCTGGAAACACAAGTTTATCAACTGGATGCAGTGAAAAACTGTGTTTGCAGACATTGGTTTATAAGGAGGTGACTTTTGCCAATGCAGTGACTTCCACTAAAGAGTCTTGACTGTTTCTAATGCAATCCCTTCACCTGGCTCAAAGCTCATGTTTGATGAATAGCACATTCAGTTCCAACATTTTTGCTGATTGATTCACCCATGAGTCTTTTTACATTGCAAACATTGATCAGGAAGATTTTGTTTCTTTTGATGCAAATATTTGCAATCTTTTACTGACAGAGAGGAGCATAACCCATTTCCTGTAGACTTTTACTAGGAGTTAAATTCAGTATGTGGTCTCCTGTGTTTCCAGAGATATAAATAATGATGAAAGTCACATCTGTATGCACAGTACCTGGTCTCTTCCTTAAATGAATTCACCTGTAGTAACAGGAAGACACCACTAGAGAGCACTATTTTAAAACTAATCTCCACTTGCTCCTGTTTTCGTGGTGATTTTCCCTGTTCTGTTGGCTCTGCATTTATCAGCGCATGAAGTTAATCTCCATAGTAACTGCACAGAGATCAGAGTTCTGCAGCATCTTTACACAACCAGAGCAGCACATGAACAACTGCATTCACAATCCTCTATACTTCATTTTACTATCTTTCCCTTACAGTTTTTCACAGTACAGTCAATGCACACTGTGATATTGTTTAACAATCTTGAATTAAATCCAGTCATTCTTGAACAGGTGAAGTGCAGTTATATTTTTGTTTTTGTATTAGGGTCTTGGCTGAAATTTCAGATACAAAATGGTGTTGATGTTATATTTCTTGTTCATGCTTACTGTCTGTGCACAATTGTTTTCATTCAATTCCTGCTGACACAAAAACTGCCTTCAAAGTAATCACCTGCTGTGATTTCTACAGATACACTGGGCACTATTTCATCACCACGCTGCTGTACTCTTTCTTCCTCGGTTGTTTCGGGGTCGATCGTTTCTGCCTCGGCCACACTGGCACTGCTGTCGGGAAGCTACTCACCTTGGGAGGCCTGGGAATCTGGTGGTTTGTTGACTTGATCCTGCTCATCACTGGTGGTCTGATGCCTAGTGATTACAGCAACTGGTGCACCTACTACTAACCAACATCAGACTGGGACTCGGGACTCTGGCCACCGCTCAGTTTGGAAACATTTGTGACATATTAAGAACTCAAGGGGTGTGGTCTTAGTCTGCCTTGATTATGAGTCCATGTGATGGCCTGCTCCAAGCAGATTTCCAGTGAAGTCCTGGAACCTCTGAAAGACGTCCATGGGGTGTCTACAATTTACATTTGATATCCTGTTATAAAAAATATGTTACAAAGATAAATCCACTCGCTGTTTTCACCAGGAGGGGTGTAGTGACATGATATGTTATTACAGCATCTCCTACAGTAACTTTGTCAACCAGTAGTTTAGATTTCAAGATCCGTGCCAAGAAAAAGATGATAAACTGATGCCATTTAAAGCCAGGCTTAACCTTTGCAAGTTTCTGTCTAATTTTCACCTGATACATCTGACCTGGTGACCCTGATTAGTACCAGTGTTCAGCCCAGAATTTCCGATAATGTTGGGCTTTTAGGATCCAGGCCCAATCTCTAAAATGTTTTTAATCAGAGCCACCCTGTTGATTTCAAACATGTTTTATATTTAAGACTTAAAATCTGCATCGCCATGTCACTACTTTACACGCTTGACCACAACAGCCAAAGACAATGTCGTCTTTAAGGAGGCAGAGTCGCTGTCGGCAAACAATAGCCGACATATCAGACTCTGTTTTGGTGACATCTAATGGAATCTTCCAAGATCTTGTCAGGTGGTATGTTGCTTCCTGTGACACATATGACTCTCTTGTGAAGTACTTCAGTGAATGATGCGCTCTTATTTTGAAAGTTGGCAGCGTGTGCTCGTTTGAGAATAGAACAAAATAATTAGTGGGTCTACACCCTTTGGAAGTACGGCAACCTCAGCTGACGCTTTTTAACTGTCAGAACTAAAGTCTGAGTGGAGTCAAATTCTGCTTACGAGGAGACAATTAACATCAATTTTACTTGATGTACTAATGTGGTGGCACATACAGTTCCCAAATAATACACATAAATATTTACATCTCATGACTTATGTGTCAGTAGATAGCCTGCATCCCTGCTAAATTTGACATTTCCATAATTACTCTGTCAGGCAGACTTTCAGCAGGTATGTCCAACAAAATCCAGAGTTTGCTTTAAAGTGGATAATGACAGCATGGAACAGGATAGTTTTGTAGTTTTTATCAGAATGTATCCAGAAGTGTTTGTCACACTTAACCTACTTTACGTAGTTAAAAAATTTCCCGAGCTTTTGTCTATTTTTCCTTCTCCAAAACTCTGATCGTACTTTGCTTCTGAGCGGGCTCCAGTCAGGTTCAAGTGCTGTTTTAAAACAAACTAAACAAAGAGTTATATGGTAAATATATTGTTTTTGCAGGGTGGCATCTGTTTCCTCTTCTTCCTGCTTGTTATTCACAGTGTTTAATTAACAGACTCTGATGTAATCCTGCATCATTTATAGATATGAGATATTTCTTTATGGGCTCTTGGTGATACCAGAGAAGATAAATCTAGCATGCTAAAAAACGACATCAGTTCATAGTTCAAGTTTACAGTCTTGGTTCATTTGTTCAGAAAAAGTGTTTGCACTGACCAAAACTGCTCGGCCATCTGGTGATTTCTTTTTTTTTGTCTTGTGTCCAAATGAAGTAAAAAATGTGCAACAGTGATCTGATCTTACAAAATAGTGATGTCCCAATCTCTGAACACGAAACTGTAACAAGACATTCACTAGCAATTTATGTTATATAATTTGCAAGGCAACAGCAGAAGGACACTTACTACACTAACAATATAGTTTAGCATCAAAAAGTTACACTTGTAATAGAATATAGTGTGCTCATCAAAGCATCACAAGAGAAAACTGCAAACTTGACTTTAAAAGAAAGGATGAATATGCCTGAGGGAGTTCAAGAAAGATTAAAAAAGGAGGTTGTTGACTCTATCAATGGATACCCAGCCCATTTCTTTGGTGGAGAGAACTGATTTTTCTGTCTTTTGGAACATTTGGATCTACAGAATCTCCTGCCTCCAAGACACCACCTTAAAGGAGTTTTACAGACTGAATCAGCGCCTGTGCTTTTAAGCACCAGTTTTGTGGGCCTTCAAAAGTGAAGCCTATAAAACGGGCCATTAGGAGATGCTGAACATATGGTAAACAGAGAGTACAAAGTACAAGTATCAGATTGGATTCAGGTCCAAAAAAAACTGATTGGGACATCCTTATTGTAAAATGTCAAAGCCAAGGTGTAAGTAAATCCAGATCTGTGTTAATAGACAGTTTATGGACTAAAGAAACATCTGGGAAAAAAGAAATTACCAGAGCCTGACCAGATTAGAAAGTGTTTCTGTGATAGATCCGTACTAGGAGTTGAGTTCATGCGTTGTTCAGGCTGCAGGAAATCCATCTCTAGATGTACTTGGTAATCCATATTTTCAGTAGCAGCACTTCCTGCTGTTATTTTGACATTATTTAGAGATTCAGTACAGCTGACTGTCGGTGCTCAATAAGTAATAGTGTCTTTTCTTCCTGTCATCTCTGCAAATTGATCTCGGTGATACTCCTGCGACTTCCCGAGGGCTACATCCTCCACACTGTATACAGATTACCTAACAGCTCTGTCTTGACCCTTCACTGCCCTCTGCTGCTTGGAGGCGTTCTGTCTTCTGTGGTTTCTCCGCTACTTTACTGTACTCTCAACTGTACTCAACAACACAGCCTTGAGCGAGAAGGAACTTAAGCCTCAAGATGGACAGTGTTCACACGAGTCAGTTGGTTTTGAGTTTTGGCTCATATGTTATGAGAAAGCAGGGGATGGATCCCTTCCCCTCCTGTGCAGTGTGGGAATATTTCACTATTTTGCATCCAGGTGTTGAGCCAAACCCTGTTCAGATGTCTCAGACTAAAACCAATTTTGATCTTTACTGACTCCCTTAACTAGACGTGGTTCTCGTTTGATATTTTAGTCTTCATCTTCTGCTTGGTTGAATCCTAAATCTTTATGTAAACGGATGGTTTATGAGCTCTTTCACTAGCTGCATGAAAGTTTTGGGAAAGAAGACATGACTATTTTTACAGGCTGTTTATTTTCTGTAAGCTGAAAACCTTTTGTTGTGAGAAGCATTGAGATTCTGTATGAAACATTACATAGTTTTCATATAATTCACAAAGTCAAACTCACACCCTGTTGTAGACAGCTGTCAGTATGGGAGTTTAATCTGAATGTAAATACTTACTCTGTTTTACACTTAGATCTAAATCCACAGTCACAATATAAAATCATACTTTTTTCTTTTGGCCTTGTAAAATACTGTAAATATTATCAATCTTCCTAAAGGAATCTGGAAGAGTGTCTAGTGTTTTTATTTATCATTTGATTTTCTTTACTATTTATTTCAATTTATAAAAGGATTAAGGGGGAAAAACATGTTTCCACTGGCTTTATTTACAAATCATATTAATTGGTTTGATTGAGAGACATGATGGTTTTCCTCTGGTCTTCAAACCTGGCTGTCTTTTTGTGTATTTGAGGAGAAACCCAGAGTTATGTGCTGTTTTTTTTTTTTTTTTTACTGTTCACAGCTGTGATGACCTTATTAAAAGTATCTGAGAAAGTGTGCTTTCTTACTTCAATAGATACAATTTCATGGTTGGAGAGGGGTGTAATATCGATGAAAGAGACTCAATACCTCATTACTCAAAAAACATAGTTTCCAGAGAGTGAGTGCAGTTTTAGGTTTTAGTAGTTTGTCTGCTTGAGAGACCAGTATACTGCTCCTCCAGTCTCTGCGTGTGAATGTTCTTGACAATACTCTTGAAGCTGTCCCTCTACAATAAAGTCAGTGCACCAGTTCCTGTGTATCGTACATGGATTGAATGTTGACAGAGGATCAGAGGCCACGATTACTTCACTAGATAATGCCAATTATTGCCATTTCTACTTACTTCACCTTTAATTCAATTATCATTCTATATAACACATTGGGTGCCTGGAGGCCATAATAGTTGCTGCACTATTAGTGAGTTAGCTCAGCATCAAATTTAGTATCACTGAGAATTTTATTCTGGAAATTGATTGGACCAGCTACTAAGCTATGCAAACAGTATAATGATAATAATAATTGTGATTAATAACAACAACATTAATAAAAATGCCATCCTGTCATTTTTCACCTTTTAATATTTTTTTTCAAATGTATTCTTACATTCATGTACAAAGATATTCACAAAACTCAAAGGCAAGTATTACATGACAAATGCAGAACTGATACCGATTAAACAATATGTTAACACTGGGTAACATTCATGTACAGTGTGATTAAAATGCCACCATTACAGAAAAAAACAAAAACAGGAAAAAAAACAGTGCATACACACAGTGAGTGTGTATTTAACTTTCATTGAGATCCATACAGTTCAGTTTACTCAAGTCTATGATCAGGTCACAGTGCTGACAGTCAAATTTGTATATTTTGATAATTTTTTTTCTCCAACAAGATTATTCACTGACCTTAAAAAAAAAAAAAAAAAACATATAACATAAAATGTTTGTAATTATGATTATGATTAAAATTCAGGAGTTCTTTTGTGACAACGTAGCTTCAGTTTTATTTCTTTGTTTATTCCTCTCTTTTACAGTAAATAATTTCATCCACCACCTTATAACTGCTTTAGAAATATGTCTGTATGGGTACATAGATTAAATTTGCATATTATATCACGTTACTGCAGTTTGGAAACACGTGTGTATTTTCTCTTTTTACAACCTTGTTGCCTCAGTCAGCCAGAACATGATGTGTCTTGTAGCTTCAGGTGTAGAAATATGTGCCTTTGCCTCTTATGGTTTCTGTCTTTGTGATTGCTGATAACATTTAGAAAAAAGGAAAGGAGCTCTGACTTTTTAATTCTCAGGAACTGAAAAAAATGTGGTGTAACACCTTGTTTTAGACCTAAATTCAGAGATCACATGGACATTCACTGATGATTTTTGTTTGTTTTTGATGTAAAGAGAGTTTAGTCTTGTACCCACACAGATCAGCACCACAGAGTGTATCGCTGTTTGCTATTTTAATCACTCTTCAGGAACGATAGTTAGTGTAACATCGTGGTGCTTCCGTCTCACCAACACTGACAGTGTGGCGCTGCTGTGGATGGCCTCGCTCACATCCTGTATGGTCTGAATGCTCTGCCCGTTGATGCTGATGATAACATCATGATCCAGCATGCCAGCTCTGCAGAAACACAACGCCATGTATCAGGTTTGACTCAATCTATTCACATGCACAAAAGTAAAAGGTAACATGATTTGACGACATAAGACATTTTCAAGTTAGTTTTGTCAGTTGTCAGAGTGAGACTCATTTTCAGCCTTCATGGCTTCATGGCTAAGACTGGTTCACTTTTGTTCACAACCTTTTACTAGTGAGTGCAGCCTGTATAACCTATTTACTATCATTACTATTTGCTGACCTTCTCAGCTCTACAACCAGCCCATTTTTCGTGCCACTCCAGGCCCGGACAGCAGTAACAATCAATTAAAAACAGCAGAGATGGTCCACTCGTTTTTGTCTTTTCATACTTAGTTAAATTAAGAAATGGCTAAAATCGAATTCCATACTTTTCCATACCGTGCAAGAACCCTTTAAACCATCCCTTACTCAGCGGGGTAGATCTCATCCCCCAGGAGAACACGACCTTTAGACAAGCTTAGTCCTGTCTCAAGTTTCTCCCCCCACATGAGACAGTACACACGGAGAGCTATAGGGTTCTGATGCACAGCACTGCTTGACATTTACATCAGAGGCATTTACTCCTGCTGATGATCCCATGTAGGCTGTTACCGACAAAACACCAAAGGCTATATGGACAGATAAAGGGACAACATTCTTGTTTCACTAATCAGATGGTGATTCATAAACAGTTTTATTCAGCAGGCTATGTAGGTTGCTGCTCATTACTGTTCAAAGCTCCAGGCTTCAACGTCACAGGAGGAAGCGTTGAACTATTAAAAATATAGTCTTGAGAGTCCGAGACAGATAGAGAGAGATGTCAAAGTTTTGCCTGCGGGAAGCGCAACTATAATGAGCAACCAGACCAGAGGTCAGTCTGTAGCCTTCAGAGCTGTGAGGATGCTTATTCCATACCTCAAGATATCCAAAAGCATCCAAATATCAGTTCACAGCACTGCTGCATGAAACCAGAGACCTAATGCTTGAAAAAGCTCTGAGAGATCCTCTCAAAGGAAGTAACAGCGTACTGATGCAGTGTCTTCCTTTGAAACAACACTGTTGCTTTTGTACCAATACATATTTTTGATATTTGTCATCTTAAAACAAAAAAACAAGTTCTTGTCTGGTCCACACATCACAGTTTTTACATTTCAAGAGTAATTATCTTAACCACTAATAAAAAAAAATTAAAAAAAAAACACTACTGCCCAACTACTTACAATTGAAAACATAATAATTCTCCATTAACTGCCACGTTTGATGCACTTTTTGTAAAATAAATTGCGTTCTGGAAACGTTTGCACTGTCTTACAAGTACAGGATCAGTTAAAATGGTCGACCTGCGTTATGTTAGTCCATCACGTAACAGTAACAGTTAGAAAATGTTGCTGGACTCTTACCTGGATGCAGCTCTTCCTGGTATGACTTCATACACATAAACCCCTGAGCTCACATCTGGAAATTCAATTTGCCGCTCTTTTAGATCTCTGATCAAACTGGTAAAGAAAACAGGTTATAGAAATTTAGAACTTAATAAATAAAGTTAACATGTTGGCAATAAAGTCATAATTTTGAAATAAAGTCAAATTCCATGTGTTTGGTGGTATTTTCATTGCTGTATTTAACAGATTAGTCTTAAAAAATGTTCACTAGTTTCCCACATTAATGGGATGGAAGCGAGAGGACTCCATGACTTCAGTCAATCAAATCACATCTCTAAACCACTGGAAGGAAACTTCTGTTGAGTTCCCTGAAGTCACTTAAAAGCCATATGTTAATCTGTAAAGATATGCTTATTACTGATGTTCACACACTGACATGAGTGAAGTTTGAGTTAAGCTACTAAATTTTGGCTGATGTCATCCTCAGAGGATATCTAGCATGTCTGTATATATATTTTTGATGTATGTGATCACTTACAGTGTTGAAAGCTGCAGCATACGAACACCCAGGAATTTCTTCTTTAGAGCTGAATTTCCTGAAAGCGAACAAAAGAAAAAGGACAGAATAACTAGTTGACAACTATTTAAAAGAACAAAGCAAACAAGTGACCATGAAACCTCTCGCTGCTCACCGCTGACTTGTCTGTTGTAGGATTCAGCCAGGAACTGTCCGCAGGAATGGCAAATGAAATTCCTGCTGCTACTTTCAGAGTATTTATGCCAATTACATCTCCATCCTAATAAACAAAGGTGAGAGGAGAGCCATTATACAGTTGTTTTTTGTGTGTTTAAAAAGGGTTTGAGTAGCAAAACACAACACTACAGTCATTTTATACCTCTTTTTAAACCTCCACCAGACAAAACATAGGTCACAGTCTGTGAAGTGTCCTTTTCCTCCTCCAAAAAAATCAGACCTTGGCTGTAATGGGCCTTTACCTGTCTTTCCCAGTGAAGAATAATGTGTGAAATACACTTATGGCTCAACAACAGCTCTCCCAAAGGATTAACTGCACTTTCAGGGGGAGGAAGCTGGCAGCAGTGACCTTGGTAAATAAATGTTCCATCTCTATGATTTAACTCACAGTAACAAAGCAAAGGCCTCCATTGTAAGAAACTACAGTGGAGAAGTCTAAATCTTGAACCTCAGAGAGAAAGCTTGCTGAGGACCTTGAGTACTGATTAAAAACAATCATGACCTCCGAAGGCAATAATCACTGTTGTAATTAAAACACGAGGGGTCACCTACATGGCAGGAGGAATAACAAGTCTGCTAATGGAGTGGGACTGCATTCTAAATCCTTACCAAGTTGACAAGTGGTCCACCTGAGTTGCCGTACTGTGAATCAACAAAGCAATAAAAGCAAGTTTATTGAAGAACAGATTACATTTATAGCTTCACAGAAACAAAAAAAAGTTGCATTGTGATCTTAATTTCAACCTTACTGACATTAATGATGGCATCAGTTTGGATGTAGTCCATGTCTGAGTCCTTAAAGCCCAGCTCCAGGCCATTGCGTTGGGCGGTACTGACAATGCCAGTGGTCACAGTGTTCTGCAGGGAGAAAGGACTCCCCACCGCCACCACAAACTCGCCTGGGCGCAGGTCTGAGGACTGTCCCAGACGAAGCACAGGAAGAGGACCCTGGATCCAGTCCAAAAAGGATAGTTAAATTGAAGTGAATATACAGTTATGAATAAAACATGAATGCTGTACCTGCTTATTGAAATAAGTCATTACTTCATTCTTGACAAGTATAAGAATCTACATCTATAGTTGTAGTTGCCTTTTCTTCACATTTCTAAATGAATGTTTTTGATAACTGAAAATGAGTTAAGTAGGAAACTTACAGCATGTATTTAAATATTCAGTAAATATCACCAAGAATGAAGTATAAAAAAGTGCAGTAATTTTACATTCACAGAATATGTTCGAGCTTGAGGGTCATATCAAAACATCTCCAATCTGCACCTACAGCTTTGTTTTCCTGTACCTATTACTTGTTTTTGTATTAAGACAAGTAATTTATAGTAAATGAGACTTATTATGATGGTTTGCATTGTCATACATAGCCTATATCTAATTTTTTAATGTCAGATGTCAATGCTAACCTTGGCAAAGCTAAAAAACACGAGATACAAAGACACATAGTGCTGTAACTAAAGTTAAGTCAAGGATTTTTTGAGCTGCAAATCATGCAGAGCTCCTCTTTTTAGTCCAACTCTTTAAAGAGTAACACCAGTAATTACATGTGCATTTACACGTGAGTCTTCCTCGAGCACCAATCCATGTTTTTAAAATCAAAAGAATTTGAACATTTTTTTTTTTTTTTTTTGCATGAATTGAACTACCCTATGCCTCAGGATGTCTTTTCCTGTCTCCTCTAAATCTAGGATGCAGACATTTATCTCTGAGGTGGGTGTAAATGCTCAGCTGTATTTATAGCCCCATTTCTCAGGGCACAGAGCCACATGAGAAATTTGCCTTTCGGGCAAGCTTAAGAGGAATGTTACACAGAGAAATATAGCATGGTTAAACTGTCACCACTCCCCGTTTGTTAAGAGACAGATTCTTCACCTATAGAACAGTCACCTGCGGTATTTCCTCAGGTTTATCTAATGTTACATTGAAATATTCTTGTATTCAGATCAGAACTAAAAATGTTAATCATGTGCTTCAGGCTCCGAGAGCTCTGACCAGAAAGAAATCCCCTTGACAGCACAAAGCATTAAAGAAACATGCAGGTGCAGTGATATGTTTTAGTCAAAAGAGCGCTTGCTTATACACACATAAAGAAGGGAATGCTTTGAATCGACACGGCCAAACCAAAATACCACCCCAGAGGAAGTCAGATGACAAATCAACCATGGTAAAGAACAGAGTCCAATTTTGGCAGAAAAAGCCTTGTTGACCTCAATATCCCAGAGAGAGAGAGAGAGAGCAGGATTGCCACTCTTTCATGTCAGCTACTGATGACAAGCCACCAGGCTAAAAGAAAACACAAAACATTGCAGAGAGGGCTCTTTGGGAACTAAAGGGAAAAAGCCACTTACATCTGGTTCAATTTTGATGAGTGCAATGTCTGTTTTCTGGTCCACATCCTTGACAGTTGCATCGTACTGCACACCGCTTTTCAGCTCGACTTTAATCTGTTGCTTGTTCGTGAGTACGTGTGCATTTGTGACGATCCAGCCATCCTCGGACACTATGAACCCAGAGCCACTGGACATAGAGACCTCCTCACTGGAGAATGTTGCTCTGAAAAGAAAAAAAAAAATGTATCAGCGGGAAATTAAACAGTGAAAGTGAGACTTCATTTGTTTTTCTTTGTTTACCTCTTGAAAAGCTCCAGATGCACCACAGCTGGGACAATCTTATCCACCACATCAGCAATAAAGTTGAATTTGTAGCGCATGCTTCCTGGATGTTGCATTCCTTGAACGAGAATTAAAATGTTTGTCAATGTTCACATAATCATTTGTATTTATTTACTGTGGATAAACTCTATCCACAACTGTACTATAACATAGCCTCCACAGTAACATCTGTGGAGGCTCCATTAATGCTGGGAGGTACATACAGGTTTTGGAGGAACATACGACACCATCTAAGTCACTTGCTGAAATCAGTAGGAATGCTTATTTCAGCAGGGGTTGTAATATTTTGTTATCAGAGCTCAATCAATCACAATAGCTCAATACAAGCACAGTAAATCCATGTGCTCCAGTGAGTTTTTTCTTCACCTCCTGGATAAAAAAGCTGTTGTGTATTTAACAGTTCAAATAGACTGAACTGACATGACCTTGTGGTTGTATTTTGTGTTTAAATCATGGGTGAATCTAAACACGTTACATAAGATTAGTGTTGTGACTTGTTATCAGATCATTATTTAGTGTTACATAATAAGACATCTTTGATTGTATCGAGACAAAAACAAGAAAATACCCACGCTGGCTGCTTGCCATGTTTGGGCATCTTTTTTACCGCCAGTGATTACACAAAGGTTGCCAAAATGAGAAGTTTACAGGAACGTTAACTTCCAAAGAATTGACTTGTTAACACAAGTAGACAGCTGGCACAACGAAATAAACTTCATCAAAGTGTTGCATCAAAAGAAAGACAGTCTACTGAAGTCCAGCTGCAAGATCTCCCCATGACCATATGTATTGTCGGCGTGCTTGTCACAACCATCTTGCTGATATTTTTGCATCAAAGAAACATCCAGACATCTGTGATGTAAATGAAGCACAAAGTCTAAGTTGTTTACTACTAACTAATCGATGAAATAATGTGAACAGGAGCCATATGAAAAGTGTTGAGTATTTTTATCAGGACAGTCATTCTCAGAGAAATAAATTATCAGCACATGATGATAGACAGTGGTTGCCCAATGATCTCCAGTGGCTTCTGAGATTGGTAATTTAATACTCAAGTTAAAAATAAGAAAACTTTACCATTTTATAGATGGACATTTTGGAAAAAAATCCATCCAGGGTTCCTCTGCTGAACTGGGTCTCTGACTTCAAGTCTATCAAGTAACTCAGTAGTCAAGTTGTGAAAAAAAAATCAGGGGGGATGGTGGATTTTATCATTTGGGATAGATGTTTTGTTCTGTTGACAGTGCACATGGTGGGTTAGCATTATTACAGTGGAAAAACACAGGCGTAGTCGGAAAAATATGGTGATGGTGATATTTATTTACAGCCGGCCTTCAGAGGTGCGGTGCAAAATTATTTACAAAGGTGCAAAAAAATGGTCAAATACTATTTACAAAATGTACAATGCAAAAAGAAAATGCCAACAAGACGGGAGTTCCACTATAACTCAAGTAAAAAACAAAAAAATCAGAAACACAGCTGTAATACAAAAGTCAGTTTGGTCGTAACCTTCCATGTAACAAACTTCAGACTCAAAGAAAGGCCCAGGCAGCCTTCTTTTGACCCCCCTAGCCCCACCCTGTGGGCGTTATTGATTACATAAGTTTAGAAAAAACACATCTATTCAAATTTAAACCTTTTTTACCATTTCTAACTTTCAGACCTTTTTCTGTAAGTTTTCACCATTTTTACTTGATTTTTACACAAATTAATTTTTAGGGATTCACGGCAAACAACAAGGGAACTAATTTTTCTTACATCATGTGACCACTTTGACCCGCCATACCTATCTATTTCACACCCGGAAATCACGCGCTCTGATTCTCATTTGGAAACCTAAGTCAGCATGATGGCGTGGATGAACACCCGGCAAGTAAGTGGAGAGATTAATATGTGAATGTATGTTTAAGTTAGCCGATAGAGCTCCAATTGTGCACCCTTGGTTAGAGAAGCCCTCTCAGAGAAGAGAGACGGAAAAATAGCGCCGTTCAGTGGGTAAATAGCGACGCTGGCGGGGAGGGAAATGTTTGGTGTGTATATGTGTGTGTGGCTTCATGTGCTGCCCGCAGTCAGTGAGGACGCCGCTCCTTCACACCCCCTAAACCTTGAAATTGTTGTAATGTTTCCACATTTATTGACCATTTTGAGCGTTTTCATTTCAGTGGGGATGCCATCCCCCCTCAACTGGAGTACTGAAGTAACCTGAGTTTGGTCTTTGTTGTCAAAAGTTGTCATTTGGCGCCATACACAGAGATGTTTCGGACTGTAATGAGGTGTTGAGGCTTATTGGAAATGTATGGCTACTACGGGGGTCCCAATACAACCTTTTTACTTCCGATATCGTAGTCTTCAGTATTGGCTGATGCCGATATTGATCCGATACTCGCACAAACTTGCGCATGACAAGTTTTGCACTCATCTGCAACATCTTTTTGGGACTTTAAAAAATAATACTGCCACACACCAGCATCACTCCTTCTCCTTGCTACTTTATTAGAACCTTGGTACATGCTGTTTTTGTGATCACGTGAGCTCTGCCTGCTGGATCCAGGCGCTGCTAGATCGAGGTGCTGGAGCGGTGTCTGGAATGGACTGCTTGTATCAGAGTGCTGATATCAGAGATTTTAGATGCAGGCCGATATAATCCGATGTTTGTTTTTGTGCTGACATGGACCAGTATCCAATATTAATATCAGATCAGATATTGCACATAACGCCATGCTGATAGCTATATAAAGTGTTTTATAAACCTCCAGATATCCAGGTATCTTTACAGCTGGTCATTGATATGTGATAACTATTCATGCACATTTTTCTATTAATATTGAATGAGAACCTTCGAATGCTGTTGTTTCAATCATTTTTTGTCGATGCCAAAGCTTTTCTGCATGCTCCCATTTTCCAACATCTTTAGTTAAAAGCCTCTCTACAGAACAGCATCATGAGTGGGACTGCTGCATTTTTCTAGCTGTCAAATATTTCAATGCTGTGATCACCGACTTCTGGAGATAATTCACACACATCTACTGAGATATACCACAAAGATGATCACTGCAAAATCCGACCTGTAGCATTAAATGAACTCACTGTCATTCAGTGTCTGGAGAACATTTCTCCTATCCATTTTTCCACCATCTTCTCTGCTGCTTGAGAAACTCATAAGCCTCTAAAAAGCCCTCGTCACTACTCTTGACAGGTTTTCACCTCAGCAGCTCTCCTCTGGGCTGTGATGCTTTTGGAAATAACTTTCATCTTTGCATCTTTTAAAAACATTTATAAGAAACATCATGATCCAAGAATTTTTTGACAGAGCTCTCGGGTGAAGGTTGCAGGAATGGTGTTGAAATGACAGCAGCTTCAGACTCAAGTGCCAGCAAAAATGAGTATGAGCTGGCTGATCAGTATGGAGATACCAGACTTAAGATTTCAACACCAACGTGAAATGTAAAAATAAAAAGTTACATGTTATGTAGCTGGTAAATTTTTGTCTTATTAAAACTTTAAGTAACTCACAGAACTGACTTTTAAGTTACAATGCCACAATGAATACAGAGTAAAGTAAGTTTAAGGAATCTTTTTTTTTTTCTTGTAAAATTAATTTCACAGTCTCATATAGTAAATCACAGAGAGCCTTTTAAATCATCAATTGCATGTGACATTGAAAAATATTTCAGGGTGAGATTGAAAAAAAAAAAATACAAAGAAAACAATCAATCATAGAACAAATTTTGTGATCTTTTTCTCTAGAAACAACTGTTAACAAACCACAGAGTCAGTTGTGGTGTAATGCTCTCCAGGAGTTGGGCTATATGATGGGCTATTTACTGTTAAGTACTGTTTTGGGTATTTTCATTTAGCTCTGCAGATCTCTGCAGACTAGACAGGAAGTTTTTTGGAATCAAATAAATGGTGCAGAAAATAATTATAGCTTTCTGAATGGTTTTGACAAGGCCATCCTATCATATAGAGTCAATGATAGCCTTCAACTTTAGGAGTTTATGGGCCTACAACCCAAAGCACTCTGATTCTTAAGTTTGAACCCATTTTTTAATATAAAATTCATATTGTAATTCTAATATTGTGATGGTGGATGTACAGTATACTGTTGTGGAAAAATAATAAAATAGCCTATCCAATGAACCACAGCTTTCACACTTAGTTGTAAATTTTACAATTCCAAGGAGCGAAAAAGTCCCTCCACTTACCTGAATCACAGGCACCCCTCTGAATCAAAATGACCGGAGGGGTCTCACCGAGCTCGGCTCTTCTGTTCTCGGCATTCAGGCGGCAGATGCTGGGGTATGTCCTGCCGTCGCTGCCGCACACCTGTCCGGAGTGGGTGCACACACAGAATCCAGGGATCCCGCTGGGCTTTCCCGGGACAGATTCACACCTCAATTCGTCTCCACAGGAAAGGCCTCTGCCATTCCAAGACCCGCATACCTCTCCCTCCCCAGCTGCGCACACCACGCAGCAGCCACACGCGTCTCTCACCTGCCCGTAGTAACAAGCCTTCGGAGTGACAGGGCACTGAGAGGCAACGCACGACTGCGGACAGGTCTGTCTCTTTCTCAGCAGACCAGCGTGGACTGCGGAGGTGAAGAGGGTGAAGAAGGCCACAAACTTCATCATGATGGCATTGATTCAATATGCAACTGTCTTCCTATGATGTCTTGATACTTGTGTTCATACTGATGAGGTTCATGCAGATACTGCACTGAGACAAGCTCCTCACCGCTAGTTTCATGGCCTCTAGGTTTGGCTCAGGGCCAGCACGTTCATATCTTCTTGTAGCGGCATGCTGGTCCTTGCACCGTTCCCCTGTACGATGTGTTATAACCCTGGTGGAGTGCAGTTTCACAAATCCATCTCATGGCCAAATCGCATGTGATGATAATTGGTTTACTCTGTAGCCTGTCATTAGAAGTGGGTTCAAACTTGCTGTCAGAACTTGGCTGTAGGCCTCAAGGCTAACTACCATTAGTCTGATTCACCGTTTGCGGTAAAAAAAAAATCAGATCTTATCTCTGTTATGGTAATCTCTGACTTTGAAAACAAAACACATTTTTTTCATGATGTAAGATTACATCAGTGGTGTAGTCTACTTGATACACAGGTACACGCTGTTTACAGAAAGAAAGCAAATTTGCAGTAACTTATTACTTCTTAAATTGTGTAACGTCCTCATCGCTAAGGACATTTTGAAGGACCTGTCATTATTGATTTCTGGTCAATAGCAGACACTTTTGATCCAGCACCATTCCTGAGATCCTGGATCAAAGACAGACTTCATTTCTTTTTTTTTTTTTTTATGCATAGGTTAGTAAAAGAAGAGTTGGTTCTGTAAATGTTTGAAAGTTAAATCAGATCTTCATGGGCTAAACTGACAACAAAGTGGTACCTAGATAATCATGTTTGGGAGTTTTAGGCCCCAGAACATACTGCTTTACTAAGTTTGGAGGTTAATGTTGCATGTACGTAGAATTGTCTTGGATTCATATTGCTGTTGGCCAACTGCTAATAACATTGCTTGTCATACAAGTGCAGTCTCTTTGTATGTGAAACAAACAAGGGCTTCCTGAAGAACTTATTATATTAAGCAAAGGTTAAAATAACAATTCCATCGCTTTTATTAGGTAGATTGGTAAAGAAATGATAAATAGTAAATGGACTATGTTTATATAACTTTTTCTATGGTTGCTGGCTGCTGTTTTAAAAAGCCCATCAGTTTTTGACTCATCCTATTCACACACCACTGCGCACAGCCAGCAGGGGCAGGTTGGGTCAAGTGTCTTGTCCAAGGCCACTTTGGTATGTGGACGACCACTCACATGACAATTTGGCATATATGTAAAACTTGCTTGTAATAATTGACCAACGAGAGCTTTATTTAATATTTGATCTTACAAAAACTCCAAAGAAAGACAAGAGTAAAATTAAAAGTCAACATCTGCTTTACTACTTAATTTCTTACATGTAAGGACCATAGCTACTTTCATCCAGTGCTGTGGAAATATTGGTTTCCTATTTAAGAGCAATTTCCTTGTCATGAGCAGAGCAAAAGTGTTTCATTTTAACAATGGCCCAGCATACTGGCTGTACTCGATTTCTCTATTCATCTGTTACATGAACTCTCTCTTATGTCAGTTTGTTTTACTCTTTAATGCTCCCTCATAAATCATCTACAGTAGACACTCGGGCAGGTTGTCTCTGCAGTAGTAATTGGACAGGCTGACTAAAACATATGGAGACGTACTGCTTTTAATGAGAACTCATGATAGTGCGAACAGTTTGGGTAGATAAGTAATGATACTGGCATTACAAATGCCTCCCCCTTTGGCTAGAGTTCAATTCCACAGCCTTATATGATGTGTTCACTGCCTCACAGGCTCTATTATATGGTGATGGAGAGCTGATGAATTATAGAGTAGCATCTGTTCCGCTCTGCTTGTGAGAGCTCTTTTTTCGGGTGCTGCGTACAGTTTTGTTTCAACACACCATCCAGCTCTGAAATAAAAAATAATAAAAAAAATAAAAATTTCTTGGGACCAATCACAAATATTATTCTTGAGCATGTTAACAAACATTGTTTGGGATACATAATACATAAAGCTTTCTGTGTGTTCAGCTTTGCAGCAGACAGTTGGATTGTATTTAAAAGGTGGAGTAGGCAGGATCTGAGGAAGTGCCAGTTTTTGGGAGAAATCTTGAACGTAAACACTACCCCTCCCAACCAGTTTTCAGGTTACATCTTTTCGTTAAGTGACCCTTTGAAAAGTCAGGTGTTTGACCACTTGCAGTCTTGCTGCCTGTGGGGGGCAGGAGTTATCAACTGTATATTTTATGTGTAATCTTTCTTCTGAAATGTTGTACGTTCAATCTCATTTTGTGGTCCAGAGAGTGCCTTTTAATTTCCCTCTTCATTCATGCATGCATCAGTGAAAGTTGACTGTCTCCGAGGTCTAATATCCCAGGACCAGCACTGACCACAGTAGCGGCTCTCTGTTTCCTCTGATTGCTGCTAGATTAATTGCCTCGTGTTGTCTCTGCAACACTGAAAATGAAATGGAAGCAAAATGACCACCCCTAAGGACTGTCAGATGTGCAGTAATTTAAAAGTCACATACAGCAATTGTCCAGCAGGACTCTCCATATCTTTTTTCATTGGCCTTGTCTACAGCTGTGGATATGATGTGGTGACCAAATGCATCTAAACACTCCAGACCCATCACTAGCTGTCAGATAAGCAGGGCAAAGAAGCTTAGTCATGGATATTGGGTTTACTTTCACACTTCTTTTGTATGCGCTGATTGATATGGCATAATCTATTAAGAGGATTTGGGCTAGTTTGAAATTGAGGATAGAGATTTAGCCTTCATTATGTCATGAGACTATTTGAAAACTGCAAAAACAAGAGATGAGGGCAACTTAGGTGGTGATCTGGGAAAACTCATCAGCTGAGGAAGCTGCTGAGGAAATTCGTCTTAGTTGTTCTTATTTGATTTTACTTTCTTTTATGCTAACAGATTATTAACTGTTGGCTTTTAAAGTTCGGCGGCCATTTGAAAGCAGACAATGTAATAATTTGGTGCTGCAATCACCCCTCAGTCATGTGCCGCACTGACAGCTGGCAAAAGACGAGTGCAGATTTCAGTTTGAACATTGTGAATGTCAAACAGACAGAGGGGCACCATCCGAGCTGAGCTGAGTGAGATGTTATTCATGCATTCATTTTCTCCTTCCTGTCCCGACATTGCCAGACAATTTACAACATAGAAATTTGTCTAATTTTCCAAGGAGTGTAATCAAGGAGGGGCAGACAAAAACGGCTAGGCGCAACAATCAGTTAGAGTAAAAGACTCTTTCATGTGGGAGATAGCTGCAAGGCAGGAAAGGCAAGCAGGCTCGCTCTAAAGTACAACTTATGTACTTCAACATAATACAGAAAAATTTAGCATTATCAGTTGACACCATTTCTATCTGACTGAAAAATAAGTTAATGATAGTTTTTTTTTCTGATTTGGGTTTCTAAAGGCAACACATTTTATCAAGAGACTACCCAGCTTTTTACCAAAACAAAAAAAACAAATATCATATCGATAGCGACAGGCCACACGATGTAAAAACAAAGACAATTTATGAAGTAATTATGCATATATGTAAATAATCATATTCAAGACTTTTATCAAAACTTGTCATTACTGCAAAACAACCCTGAGTAAAAAGTTCTGTTCAAGATAAACAGTCATTTTTGTTATCTCAAAAACAGCTCTTGTGAGGAGCAAAGAGCTGGTTTTAAGGTCAGAGTGCTTGTTATTCTTTGTGACTTTTTGCTTGACAAAACTAAAATGCAAAATACCTCTGTGATACCATTCATGTTGTAAGAACTGATTTTAATAATTGCCTTAAAAAGCTCACATTACGACAAACATTTTGAGTTGAGGACAAAAATCCTTATAACTGTACTTTTCACCATTTTATTGTATCGCACATTGTAAGACATAAAGAGAAGATATGGCATTATAAATATTCAATCATTGAAAATTTTTTATTTGCATATTTTTTTAAATATATCATGAAGATATCCTTTGATTAATAACAAATAAGGTACACATCGTCATTTACAACCTGAGAAACAAGCTAGATTACAGGGATGTCTGGTTCCTCTGCTGCTTCCAGGGTTTCTCATAGACCTTTGAATGCACCTCACTCCAGAGCATAACAGCTTTGCTGAGGGCTTTGCACTGAACACAGTCATGAATATTTCATACTTTATACCTTTACTGTTTACTGGTGTCTGTCAGCGTAGCCCTCAGCTTACCTTTGCCTGCTCACATTCAAAGTGCAGATACACATCTGGGAAGTGTTTGACAGTTTGTTTATACAAGAACATCATAAGAACAACTCAGTCTGCCTCTGCATGACTGTAAAATGTGAAAAACAGCAGTGGCACTGTGGTTTGGAGAAAGCACTTGCAGCAAGGTGGCATATTGTTCATCAGTTAACAAGGGATAAATCTGAGATTGATGGCCGGCAACTCAGAAAACAGATTTTTTTTTTGCAAAAACAGGGATTTATTTATGCCTCCTCCGGCTTTTACAACATATTTTGGGGAGGTAATATGAGAGAAACCCTGTTAACTAAGCATAAAAGGAGACAGCTGAGCTTCTTAGATGTTTTAATTCACTGAATCTGAATCTAACGCCTGTTCATTGGTGCGAATTTGTTTGAGCAATCCCTGGCTTTTATGCAATCAAACTTGAAGAGCTCCATCTGTGCAAAGGAAACTAGTGATGTGAAACATATAAAGATTGTTAAATCAGTTAATATAGATGAGTTTTTTCACATCAGTTTCAGACTTGTTTTATTATGAGCTGAAAACACACTGTAATCCAAACATATTGAATTGTTTTCTATTCATTGGACCTTAAAGGGATATTCTGGCGTAAAATTAATTTAGGGTCAAACACACCGTAACACTGAGTTAGACACCCCATCAAGAGATGAATGTTGCCGACCGCTTGTTTCTCTAGTTGTAACAACTTTAGTAACGACCGCAGATGGCAATACAGAGAGCCACGCACTCAACCAAAAAGCCACTCTATAGCCACAAATAATGCTCAGAACAGCAC